ATATATATATATATATATATATATATATATTTCTTTATTTGTGTATTTATAACTATATTTTGAACGTTCATTCATGTATTTGCGGCGTAGGTTTTCATTGAGTTGATTCTTGTTGAAAGAACAGGGTCACAAGAAGTCGCTAGAATTAATGATCTAGAAAGTGGTTCCACTATTTCCAATGAAATGTTAAATGAGAAAATTCGTCCAAAAGCTGTTGGTTGTTAGAAGGGAACGAGTAAAAAGTGCATCTTTTTGGTAAACTTATCATTTTAAGAACCAAACTGTATCAGATATAAAAATCAGTCATTTGGGCAGAACATTCTTTTACGTAATCATTGAAGGTGTTCTGCAAAATGACGACAACAGAAGGTGAAGATTAAGAAAGAAGTATGACGGTAATAGCTATCTTCGGCAGCATATTTGGTCAAAAACAAAGATCAGGATTGCATTTTATCTTTTCGTTGGTGATTAGTCATTGTTTGGGGGACGAAGAAAAAAGTGGAATCAGTGTTGTTCAGAAACTGCTGTTGACAGTTATTGATGCCACAGTTTTTTTTTTTTCTGTATTACACAGGTTTAGTGGTTAAGTAGAAGAGTAGGGGTGGAATTTGTTATAACGAATGAAAACGATCATGAATATAGAGCGAACGTTTGGAGCAATGCTGTCCGCTATTTGGCGAGATAGGCTGTAGATACGTAGGAGGCTGTTAATAAAATTGATCTCCTGACTGATGTTTTTGACTTGCAAAACTGAAGAAAAATCTAGGTTCACTTAGTAATTAGGGTTTTTAGTGATAACTAAATAAGTGTTGTGAGACTGGGAATTAAGAATATTCAATATTGATAGGCCCCAAAGTTGCCTTGAAGACTAAGCAATTTTTACAAATAGACATGTTTGATAATTTATTGGTATTTGTTGATGATGATTTCAAGCTTGAAAGACTTGACAAATGAGCGACAAAAAAACGGTGTTATATAATCTAAATTCTAGTTTGAAAGATCGAAGAAAAATTTTTGTCAGAAATTCATGAAATAACTGTTACAAAAAACAACAGTTTTTTCTTGAATTCATAAGATGTTCCTAGTCGATTCAGTTTTTATTGCTACGGAAAGGATCAGGAGAAAGCGTTGAAAAAAAAAAA